AAAAAAAAAAAAAAAGGCAGTTTGCCTCAAAGCACAATACCTGCAAGGAGACTACTCAGCTAGTTGACCTCACAGGGACCACTTCTTCCTCACAAGTTCTCCGTTCCTTGGGAACTTTGCCAGAGTCAAGGCCAGCGACACTCCTGAAGATGTCATTCCCACCTCAGCACAACCTCCTGTGACTGCCCAGTAAGCACCAGGGGAATGAATTAACTAATGAGCAAGTGAACGAATGGGAACGGGAAAGAAGCAGCACGGCTGGGTGCTTACCTCTTCTGGTTCATGGAGGCCACCTGGAGCCACTCGTTGGTGCTGGGGTTGTAGGAGTGCGCAGCCGAGATCTCCTGGCTAGTGATCCTATACCCGCCCACTATGAAGAGGTAGTTGTCCAGGATGGCGGACCCGTAACCCCTGACGTTCACCAGGTCGGGAGGAAGGTTGTTGGCCAGCGGGAACCAACGTTCAGTCATCTCCTCATACCTGAGCATGGACGGGGGCTCCCCTTGGTAGGGGTGAGGGGCCAGGGGTCCCCCCAAGAAATCCCCCAGGGCTACGAGGACGGGAGTCCCGGCCATCCGGGCCTCTCTCAGCCTCTGCTTCAGGCTGACATCGCCGGGGGCTTGAGGAGGAGCCCCCAGGAGGTGGAACTGGGGCTTGCACAGCACCTCGTGGAAGTGGACCACCATGAAGCGCAGGCAGGCCTCCTGCAGGTCGGGCAGTCCGTACACCTGCGCCAGGCGGTACAGCTCCAGGCAGTTGGTGAGCCGCACCTGGGACAGCAGCAGCTGCAGCAGAGACGTGACCTGAAGGAAGGAGGCCGCTTCCACCAGCTCCGCCAGCAGGCTCACCTCGTCCATCTCCTCTTCCTCCTCCACCCCACCGCCCTTCTCCGCCCGCGGGCCCAGGAGCCAGCCTTCGCGGGCCCCGCCGGCGTTGATGAAGTCCAGCACCAGGCGCAGGCCCGGGGCGCTGAGGCCGCGCAGCTGCTGCACCTCGGGGCCGCCGGCCTCCTGGCTCAGGGCCTCGCGCATGCCGGAGCGGTAGAGGGCGCGGAAGTAGTCGCTCTGCTCGATAAGCTTCCTCTTGCTCACCGGGTAGCAGCGGTCCTCCAGGCGGATCTGCACCATCTCCTCGGCCGACATGGCTGGGGGGCCGGGGGCCGCGGGGGTGCCCGCCAGCTCTGCGCGCTCGCCTCCCCGCCCCCACGCGCTCGCCGGGTTCCGGGTTGGGCGCGCCGAGGGATGGCGCCGCCGAGGAGTAGGGAGGCGACGGGCCGCCGCCCGCTCCCGCGTTCGCCCAGCCTATCTGGGTCGCGGCGGCGCCCCCGGGGCAGCCCCTCCTCCGGGTCCCGGGGGCGGCGGCTCAGCCTCGCTCCCCCAAAGCGGCGGCCCTGCCCGTCTGCTCTCCCTCAGCGCCAAAAAAGGCCCGGCTGGCGCGCGCCGGGCGTCGGGAGGCGGCCGCCGTCCTCGCTCGGGTTCTCGGGGCCGCGTCAGCCGCTGAGGGGATCCCAGCCCCCAGCCTGCAGCCTCCTCCCACGCCTCGCCTCTCACTTCCGCCCGGAGGACCCCTGCTGCCCGCCAGACCTGCGAGCCGGATCCGGCTTTCGGGAGGGCAAGAGGGCCGGGCTGCGGCCGCGTCCCCGCAAGCCTCCCCCGCACGCCGGGCGCAGCGGCTCTGCGGCCTGCGGGGTCCGCGGTGATGCGCCGAGGGTGGAGGAGGGGACCGGAGACGAGGTGAAGCCAGTCCGCTCTTTCTTCCACGCTGCTTTACAAGCGGGGAGAGAGAGAGAAGAAGAAACAGGCGTGGGGGGGACCGGGATGAAGGGAGTCTGGGGTCCTGGGAGTCAAAATGACATCACATCTGGGATCGCCCATCTAGCCCCGTCCGGCATAGTGTCCCAGGGGGGATGAGGCACATAGGCCGTCTCTGCCCACGCAGGTGACACCTAGAGCTGATTCTTCGCCATGGTCATCGTGTGGGAGCCATCTTGCAGAAAGAAGGTCCAGGCAGATGGCAGCAGGTTCTGCAGGGCTCACTGGGGTGCACAGTACAGCAGATGAAAAGGGTCGGGAAGCAGAGGAGCTTGTATTTGCTGCTAGGGCCTGTTAATCCTCTTTATGCTATTGAAAGAAAGACAGGAGTGCAACTCAATTTAAGTTACTTCAATTTGGTTGGGCCAGCCATGACCTAACGTGATCCTTTGGGCAGAAGGTCTGGCAGCTTTTGGTCATACTGGCCTACAGACGTGGCTTTTCTTGCCACCCTATGTTCCCCTGCCCATGCCCCTCTGCCGGCTGAGGACTGCTTAAGGAGGGACCACTTCTTCCCGGTCTTTTCTCACTGAACGTTGCAAAGAAATGCATAGAAAGCTCACTCCAAATAATGAGGACCTCGTGTTACTCATGAGATATGAATTAATCTTAGAAGGGGGTGAGGGGGATACTGTTAGGTTAGCTTTGGGTAGATGGAGGGATAAGGATTGGGAGGGAGCCCGCACTTATCCTACAAAAAAACCCTTGAAAATTTTCCCAGACCAAGATTCTTCTATCATAGTCCTGAACTTGGGGAGAAGATGTGTTTGGGCTTTATTTTTATTATTACAAGCTTCAGCTGTCTTCTTGAATGGCAAGTTGTTAAATGACACCTTCTTCATAAGTACATTTCCACTTTTTGAAACAAGATACCTCCTACAATACTGATTAACGTTTTACTTGAGGAAGGGGGAAGGGTTAAAAACCAGAGAAGAAAGTCATCTTGGTAAAGCATGAAATCCGTTCAGCACCTTTTTGGTTAATTTGTGCTTTTCACTACGTAACTTAGCTGCCTCATTGTGAGGTGTCCTCCATTATTTTCTTTATAAAACACCATGAATAAGGAACTAAAGTTTTAAAGACATAGGAAAAAATCCTAGTAGATTCTGACCTCCCTGGGAAAAGTAAAGGAGACAAGGATGGATCTATGATCTGCTTCATTCATCTATTTTTCTTTTTAATTCTGTGAACAACTTTTAGCTTTTTGCCTTGTTTCACTTGGCCTTTAAATCATTACTGATAAAACTCCATTCTCAACCAATTTCTCACACTTCTGTTTTCAATAAGGGTGCAGTCAAGACATTCTGAAGTTCTTAGGTGGGGAGTGACCAAGAATCTAGCAACCTCTTTAGGAAAGTAGTGCCATCCCCAGTATTAGGCCTTACGCTGGGGAATTTTGCTGGAGGGCACACCCTCCATCAAAGAAAGAGGCTCGGACTTGGGATTTATTTGTGCCTCCGTTCGCAACAATGCCAGATTCAGTGGGTCAGCCAAGAACAGGCTCTTAGTCTCTTCTCTGTCCTTTTAGAATCTTTCACCAATGGATGCTTTTGTTTCCAAACGTCATAGATATGCCTCAGACTGGTATTTTCTTGCCTTCTAAAAACAGACCCAAAAAATCACACTCAAAGAATGATGCACATCCGAAAGGCAATTCACACCCAGTAATATTATCAGAGTAAGATTAGCTTGGGCAGGGAATCTGGGGTGTGAGTCTGACAATACCGGGCACTGAACCTGTAAGCTTTTTCGGCCCTGATAAATAAGGTCATTTAGGATTGGAAGTATCTTAAAAGATCAAACCACTTTTGTAACTCACACAGTAAGCTTTCTATTCAGCTAGGAATGCAAAGTCAAAGCAATATAAACTCATTTACGAAAGATCTAAAGCATTATTTCTAAGCCTCATGAAAATATTGCTTATATGTAACTGGTGGTATAATTTTATAGATCTGTTATTGACTGAACAATGAATAATAAAGACTGGCTTTTGTGGTGCTATGACTCACTTCAGACACTTTATATTATGATCTTTCTACAAAAGACCACAGTAAGAGTCAGACATAGGCTGTTTCTTTAAGAATTTATGGAAAATACATCTTGTGACCGAGAATGAAAAATAAATATTTAAGTACAAGATGTTTATCACAGTGTTGCTTTTAATAATAAAAAAATGGAACACAATGTCTAACAGTAATAGTAGCTAACATTTATTGAAGGTTTATTATATGCCAGGCACCACTGGCAGTGGTTTTCATGGATTACAATATTTTTTTTTATTCTGTTTTACAGCTGAGGAAGCTGAAGTGCAGAGTAAATTTTGGTACATGTGTAGAATGAAATACCGTAGAGCCTTTACAACTTTGGATATACATGTAGATCTTTCTTTAGAAACCCTGAAAAATATAATTTTACACCAGATTTTTAAAAAACAGTGTCTGGAGGGGCATCTGGGTGGCATTGTCGGTTAAGCATCAGACTCTTGGTTTCAGGTCAGGTCGTGATCTCAGGGTCATGGGATCGAACCCCAAGTGGGTTCTGTGCTCAGTGTGGAGTCAGCTTGAGATTCTTTCTCCCTCTGCCCCTCCCACTCGTGTTCTCTGTCTCTAAAATAAATAAATAAATCTTTAAAAAACAGTTTCTGGAACACTATGAATCCATTTATGTAAAATGGTATATATGTATCTATTTTTTATAGAGATGTCTAGAAGGATGTTAACGAAAGTGTTAAGACTATAGGACTGTAGGGGCCTCTGGGTGGCTCAGTCATTAAGCATCTGCCTTCTTCGGCTCAGGTCATGGTCCCAGGGTCCTGGGATCGAGCCCCGCATCGGGCTCCCTGCTCAGCGGGAAGCCTGCTTCTCCCTCTCCCACTCCCCCT